ATGTTTAATATATTAGTCTACTTTTAGTTAAATGAGTTCTTTTGAATTCCTACAAAGCATACTCCTGCCATCACGTAGGACGAGTTATTATAGACAACAATGTGACTTCCACATAGGATCTTGTCGATCAAGTAGTAATATGATCGTCGTCATGGCATGTCTAAGATTCTGAATAAGGCCTGTTATCCTAGTAGCATGAATAGGTGCTACATCGACTAAGGTCATTATTTTAGAAGGTTTCTTGCTATCTTAGCACGTAGTCCGATAAATTTTTACCAAAGCATTTGAAAGCCTAGTGAACTGATAGTAAAGCCCCAAAGCTTTCGGTGGCTGATGCATTTCAGTTCACAGCTGTTTTTAACCGATTGTTTAATCATAATTTATTCTCAAATAACGATACGTTACATGAGGAGTGGCAGTTTACAGACAACATCAAGTTGTTACAGATGAAACGGGATTCACTGTAGTGGGTTACTCAGTTATATCGATATATTTTATAAAATTATGGGGAATAACACTTCTCACATATGAACGTAAATGATATTAGTAAGTTTTATCTTCAATATCACAGTTAGTGCGCTTTATGGAGGTTGAGCTGCGACGTGCAACTTTTGGCCGAAAATGAATTCACTTAATGTTCAGAGCTTCGAGAAACCTCGACTGTATATCCCTCTGGGACATCCGGGGCACTAGTGATGGTGCAGGACAAAGTCATCAGTTTCACACCTGTTTTCGCTGGCATATCCTTAGGGGCTGAAAAGGAGGGTAAGAAAGATAATGGATGAGAAGCATAGCAGACGACGTTCATGATTATTGAAGTTAAATCATTTGCGGCGGAATAATTAAGGTGTGGCTACTTCGTCTTATTCTCTTTCATTAAGGTAACTTTTGAGCAAAGGCATTCCAATACGTTAAAGAAAACAAGCTTAAATATGGTAATGAATGGACAAAGAACTGCATGAAAGGAAGTAATTGAGAAAGAAGCTGAAAGTTTAGGACCATGTGTAGTTTAAAAATATAGTACTGAAAACAGTATTCTGATGCACAACCGGCTATCTCCCTTTTTTCACCAAATTTATTTAAGCTCGTTTATATTTCTTAGGTTTTATGGGACCATGAGAGAACTTAATTTTAGCGAACTATCCAGTTTTGCCTATAATAGGATTACATGGTAGTGAGTAAAACCAATTCAAAGTCACAAACATGGTTTCAAAGAATTAGTTCGCACATTAAATTAACATCAATAACACCGATTAGTCACATCCCGATGGATCATAAGGAGCTGAAATTTTACAAAAAATTTTCTGCTCTACAAACATGGGTAAATTGAAGCCACCTCCCTACCACCATTTTTACTGGTCAATAACGCCATTTTCTCTTACAGTTGCCCCATGGTTCCCCTGTTCACAAACTCGTGAATTTGGTATCCCACTGACAATATATTCGCTAGTCCTACCGTATAAGACGTATCTTGGCTCATGCTAACAAGAACTGAACTTCAAACTCATAGTTAGGGACTATCTGGTCACTTCTAAATTGGCTTAGAGATCAAGATGATCAGTGTTATGATCTATTGTTCTCCAGACTTTCACATCATCTGCCACCATGGGTCTTCGTAAGTCGCCGACACAGTGAGATAGTGCCCTTGGGCAAGCTGTGTATAACAGATTTCTATCTAGATAGTCTAATATTTACTAACGCTTTTCGTCCCCAGATACAGAGGAATTTTCTTATCCAGTTTTGTATGGTGCCTGCAACTGTGTAGCTAACAATCTTCCGAATAATTCCTGAGTGAAAAAATTTGCTGAAATCTGTGAACATCACGTCAACTGGTGGAAAATTGGCCAGTTTCCCTGCCACTATTGCATCGATAAAGCGGAAACATTTATTTTGAAACCCAAGCTGATCGGGAGCGAAAAGACCATGTGATCACACGTGACCTAACAAATTTAACCAGATTATACTTGATATTACTTTATTTACTGTGCTAGCCAGGCCGATGGATTGCTAGATAGAAATGGGCCCACTATTTTGTGGGATAGGCCGATGATGACACCCCCCCCCGATTTATTATGAGGTCCGTATGGGAAAGGTATATAATAAACAACACATTGAGTGGTTCTGGAATTGTGTCCTCAATGAGTGGCAACAATTTCGAACCTGAATCATTAGGATCCGACAAGTCGGTGGATTATAAGCAACCACTTGTGTGAAGAGCACTTTACTGAGTTATAAGCTGTGGCACTATGAGTAGTGCATCAAGAGCACAATCAAGAAAAACGTTATCAGCACTATTCTCCGAGTAGCACTCGGCAAAGCACTTCAATAAATTTTTAGCTTTGACCTCATCTGACTCGGATGACGCATCTAAGTTGTCATATGAATGCACTGAAGGTTTTTCTCCCGTTTCGTTTTACCCCAATATACGAAAACATTCGTTTCGCATAAGTGATATTATCATATGTAGTATTGTGTGTCTGGTTGGAGACCTAGCTGTTGTCGTTTTGTAGGTGTTAATGACCTTTCAATGCTCAAGCCCATATACTTCAAGACCCGAAGTCAAGATTTAGCCCTCAAGACATGTCCTACTCCTGAAAGCTACAAGATGTTTCCATCAATCTGTGGAGAGCAGCGAAAGGACCTACCTAGAATCAACTATAGAAGGGGATTACATGATCTTTAGTACTAATCAATGACTTAATTATGCGGTTTTCACTGTTTTTCTGAAAAACATTACCAGCACAAGCTCTTGGCAGAAGTGGGCCATCTAAATACCTCCACTCGTAACTGATGCGTGAGGATAAATTTCGTTCTCATCCGAAATTTCGACATCGAACCCCGAAACCAGGTAAAATGAAATGAGAATCACTAAGCAAACACAATCCATGGTGAAAAGTGTGTTTCGTTCTCCGTGGTTTTTACTGGCTTACACAGAAAGTGTTAAAATTTCACTCTAAAATGCTAAGGGTGTGTCAGGTGTAGTGCAGTAAGTCATGATGGAAGAAAGAATCATAGACATCGCCATTCCTCCAATTAACTTTGTTATAAAAATTCCTTAAACATATTTATACTTGGGTGACTAAAGGGACGAAAACATAATTGTGACCAACGACTGCGACACAACTAGCTGATTTGACAACGTAGGGTATATCCACAGATATGACTGACAGCTTGTTCTTTTGATCTTGATATTGACTGGAAGTTGCTAACCATCTAACTGTCTTCTATATGTCAATTTTAGTTATCTACATTCGACCTGATTCTTTATCTTACACACCTCCATAATGTTCTGTGGTGGACCAAGAATATAACAACTCCAAAAATAATGACAAAATTATAACGAAGGAAATTTGATGTGTAAATATATCAAATATGAATTATATATACAAGAGGAATATGCAGGACGTTGCCCAAATTGTCAGGAATTGGTGTGTTCATGTTTCTTCTGGCCTGGCAATCCACATTTATAAATAGTTAGTAATTTTAACTATGATTGCTATAATCCGAGATGTATGTTCAGATAAAGCATGTGATGGGGATATCACAGTGATATGTAACCGTAGATAGCAATTACATTAGAGTTCCGTTATCATAACATGAGGTAATTGAGAACAAGAGGCATGTGTATGCAGCACTGTATTTGTGAGCGATAATCAGAGTGTCATGCTATGGTGAATTCAAAACAGAAACGGAAAATCAGTGGTTGTAATTTTCAAAACGACAATTTAAGAGGCAACAATTGTTACTGTGCAGATTATGAGAGTTGATAAAAAAGGCGAATTGTAGAAAAATCTAGCTGCAAAATAATCTTTGTTGACTATCTTCACTGTTCCAATAAGTTGCTTAATTTTGTCAACTTCAATATATTTATTGATTGTGGCGATTTTGTCAGTTTGTTTGCTGTACTTATTCCGAACGGCCCCAATAATTTTGTTGTAAATAACGAAGTGACAGAGAGGCTTGGTCTAAGGTGTGTCCAGTCAAGCCATTGAGATCAGCATCAGTGTCAAAGGCTCACAAAACTTCAGATCATCAAATTAGATAACCTGTGTACAAAGATTAGAGGCCCACTCGAATTAGATGGGAGAGATGTCACTGACCAGGTAACTTCAAAGTCATTTCTCACAGCTAGTACCTAACGTGAATTGCTCTTTCGTCATATCCAGGTACCATTGCCGCTTTGACGACAGCGTAACGCAGGTAAAGTTATTACAAAAAAATATTAGCGTGATTTAACACAAGAAACATAGTACAACCAGTCCATTATGGACCACACCATGGCCTACAATAATTGCTGTACATTAGTCGGCCTTGACCTTGACGAGGATCGGTGAACTGTACAATATTCAGTGAATCGACCGCCAGATGATTTGACTAAGGCTCAGCGACATTTCACTGGCTCCACGGATTTATTTATTTTGTGGATTTGTTTACCGTTACACTAGTAAAATTCGAGCTTCTAGTCTCTCCATCACTGCTTCTGCAATAATTCCTGACATTTGTGATCTCATCGATGTTCTTTCCCTCCGTTTACAGATTTGATTATGCAAATGAAGATGTATTGTTAAATGGGAATCGATGAGTTCTAGTAAACTTTCATTTTTAAGCTTCGCGTACTTTGGAAGATTTTTGTTATTCGAGAAAAATGATAACTTTGTTAAGAGGGGATCCACATCAGTTATAGCATTTCTAAAACTTTACATTGCCCTTAGGTATGAGTAAACAGAAAACGTAAGTTAACAAGACGACCCAAAGCGCGCGAAATGCAGTTTTCGTCGTTATTTTCGTGTTCAATATTGCTGTAGACGGAGGTAATTTTGATTTCTCGGTCTATTAACTCACATTCTCTGCACTTTACCTACAGATTTCTGTGCTAGTTTATTGGGCTGCCATCGCTAAGCTGACGTTCCTCTATACCCTCGGTGATAGCGACCTGTCAACTGCTGTACCTTAGGAAAAACTACATAATCCTACAAGTGTGGTCTAGACCACACATAGCTATGTCTCGCAAAATTTCTAACCTAAATGTAGTCGAACTTGAAGAACCATCCAAGTACATTAAGCCATACCGAATGAACTTTATCCAGGTAGGTATGTTGAATAGTCAGCATACCATATTTATATATATGTTGGTTATTACCGAGCTTCCAATTTTGGGAAATTTCGTTCCATTTTAGGAAAGCCGTTGTAGTAAACTTTGGAAAAATGGCACCAAAACTCCCGTTTAACCTTGGTGAAGGTCATTTGACTTGTGAGATTTCCCCGAAAACCCCTAATTTTGGGAGATTGGGTTATTATTAATGGAATTGGCAACCCAAGAATGAGGAAAGAGAACATTCTTCAATATAATAAGAGAGAAAATAAGAGGGAACGCTCCGAGAGGTCTCCTTTCCTGCCTGCTGTGAGGAAGTAGTGCAACATTTGTCCATATCACCGTGGTTTTGAATTCCTGCCGATTCATACTTTGTGTTGCGTACTAATCATTTTTAGAAACAAAGTTCGAAGAGTTCTTGGGGAATACCACATTAATGAAGAGTAATACGTAAACGTGTATTCGGTATTTCTCTGAAGTAATGGTTAATCATGAAGGGCTTAGTAAAACTGTACACTTGCGTAAGTTGCCGCACTTCACATCAGCACAGCTAGAAAAAGTTGTAAAAATTTCAGTCGACCGATTCGAATACTGTAATTCATTTAAATGGTGAGACTATAATTTACGGACGACCTTTGAGCGACGCTAAAGAGACTTCGAGAATGTTTACTTACTACGGCTAAATGAGGGTTATAAAGCAGCGTGAGGGATTATGATTATTATTTATAGTTGATAGTTAGGGTTAGGAATCAGATCGGTTTTCATCACGATCTGACATCAGCTGTAACACCAAAACTCTATTTAGTCAAATGAATTAATTAATTTCGTCCATAAATTATAGTCTCACCACTTAAATTCTAAATCATTTTAGTATTAATAGTAGTACCACAGTACTGGCATTTTAAGTGAACGAATCAGACCGAGTATTGAAGTGCTTGATATAACATTAAATTTCGGGATTTGGTGCATGACAGAAACGTGGAACGCTCAATCTGCCGTTATGATTTCTATATATGGTCCAGCAACGAAATCTGCAGTTCACGACTCAAACAGGTAATGTTGTGAGACTTATACAATGTATTCGATCTGACCTTACATGTGAATATTTTTGGCCAATCGCATCAGTTTCTCCCCAACATTCCAGTCTACCACATGTATTTTCACGACTTATCAAATGAAATCAAATTGCATATTCACCATTCGTTTGTGAAGTTTATCGTAACAATGCTTGGATTTCTGTCACCTAAGTTCAGTGAGGACAGTTCCTAGCTAGTAGACAAAAATCACTGTAAAGTAGTCAATCTTGTGACCACCATATTAAATTTATTTTAGATCCATGAGAATACTTGTTAATTCATATTGTCCTCAATTGTTTTGGCCTATAGGATGGTCGGCGACGCACATGGGATGGTATTCTAGCACATGATAGGTTAGTTTACCAAACTTCCTGATTACATCCAGTGTTTCAATACTTCTGTATCATTCTGAGAAAAAGTCATTACTTTTCGTAAAGCAGTTTCGCCCAGGTATGTTGAAATCTCCACCTTTATTGCACTTTAGTTTTTAGTAGTCGTTAGGATTTTTTTCCGATAATGATGTTGCCCCACTTATTCCTGATCTATCACCTATCATAGTTATGTTTTTATACAGTTCATGTTCCATTTCTTGATAAACTGCATATAGTAAGGTCATTTTGTATTTTAAGTGTTTTCAGCTTCATAAGTGCTTTAATTTCAGCATTAGGTACTTATATTCATTTTTCTTGGCAGGGCCTTCAACATATTCTCTTGACATATTGGTTGATCAAAAACTGTATAATCAGTTTGTCGCTCGAAGCTGAATTAATTTAAAACGTCATCACCCTCTATATAACCAGTGACATTCCGCTAATTTATTAGTCTTCAGCTTAGTATTTAAATAATACTTTAGCTGCTTTCCTCTCAGTAAATTTCAAAATAATTATCCAAAGGTTGCGTTTGTACTATTAGTATGTCGATTTTGTTGATCAAAACATCACAAAAAAAGCTATTGAGTGGGTGTAACACCAAGTTCTACACTCAAGTCCACATGCAAAAAAGGATTTGACCATAAGCTGCTTTTCATACTGTACTAAATAATCAAGATGGGCTAGTCAGTAGAAGTGTGTACAAAAAGAATTCAATTGTTTTTCGGTACATGTATTTCATTTATTCCATACTCATTTAGAGCTCACTTTGTTAAGCTAACTGCCAAGCAACTTAACCAACAAGTTACTGTGCACCTTTGCTTGTACTTGAAATAAGATTAAACAAAGTCAATACACATCTCCGTTTTTTTCACAAGTGGATAGTAGCTGTTTGGTAAGTAGGACTAAAGCATTATGGGTCACTTAATGTATTCTGTCGTGTTTTTTTCCAAACTATAGTTGAAACTTGTTTCCCTCATATTATTGAGGCCCTAGGATTCCCACCCATTAACCCTGATTCTTGTATTATGAAGAGGTTTACATTACCACTGTCCTAAGATATTTTATTAGGTCCTTTACTAGTCTCGACCTTTTTTTATAAGTCTTTAATACCAGACTATTTACACTTTGATTTGTGACATACTTCGTCCTCGAGTGCTACGAAAGATTTGCTGATTATTCTCTATCTACATTAAACCCAATTACGTCCGCAACCGTCACGTTAGTCACCTATTCATTGTAGTGTTAACTCACGGAAATTTTCGTTGTGTGTGGGATGTAAATGGATATGGTTGGACAATAGTTCAAGCTAATGACTATGCTAATGATTACCTGCATGGAAACTTCCTCAGTAATTATATCCCTTGCGCCTAAATGCCCTGGTAAGGTTGAGAGTGGAAAGAGTCAGCCCTGCCTCTCGAAATGCTCTCACATGGTCACGTGCATACAACCACTGCCAGGGAAGTCCTACTCACTGCCTCCTCGAGGTGGGGGTGTTACTTACGAAATTGAGAGGACGAAAAGCGAATATCCGGCGCTTTAACCGGGTTGGTGAACACGGTGAGTCCACCTAGGGGAGTTGGAAAGCCCTGATTCCAAACCAATGGTTCACATAGGCTGGCTCCAGTATCCTAAAGAAACAAATAGCGTATGAACCTATTGTTGATCACCATGGGACTGCATCTCCTAACGTTACTCCACTGCCTTGTGGATCAGACCTTTAGGTCGAATGCCCCGGTTGTAGGCCCCTAAGAAAATCACCTGCTTCGGTTTGGGCACCCAGGCAGTATCCCAACCCTCACACAAATCGAATGATTTATGTGGCGCATATCTATTTGGTGCCTTCTTGTGCCTATCTCTATGTGTTTAAATAAATAAATTATTTCCCTTAACTCTTGCTCGACAGCTAACAACATCGTGGACGGGGTTACCCAGTTGATGTACAGTAAGGTTACAAACATCACCAACACCTGCTATCGCGGATTATGAGCCAGTTAGGTGTGACTTGACAAAATTTCCATAACTGACGGATAATAATGCAAGTTTTTATGCTACGAAGCCCAAGTTTTCTTGAAGTCTTATATGTTCCTTCTATGACAAGCGATATCATTTACAAAGTTCAGTGGTTCTGTAGTGAAGCTATAACTTCGTGGACAAACTATTCAGCTTTCATTTGATATGTTAAACGTTTGGACCCAGATTGACGTGTTTCCACTTAGGCTGTCATATATTATCACCAACCCTCGGGTAGCGGTTCATAATCAACTGTACTAATATATACCTAGTAAATGAGTTACATTACCTTCGGGGTCCCGTTTCCGATAGTTATTAAAAACTTTTTCTGCTCATAATACCCCTTGAGAGCCTAGAAAATATCAACCAGTAGCGTTATGTTCCCCTCAGTCGTCAGTTCCAGATTTTGTAAGTTTCAACTTGAGTACAAATATAGAACGATGTGCTAAATTGGATCAGCGGGAGATCCATAATCTTGCTTAATTGCTTGTTAAAACTTACCATCACTTTAACATCATTTAATGCCGCAACCAAACTTTGTCCCTGAGTCATTCAAACTATCGTAGTAAGAAATGTAGAAATATAATCATAAATGTGTTTTAATTTCGTGTGTGGCACTTTCTCAAATTTTGGTAGCTTAAAGCAGTCGGTATAATATTTCATTTTAGTTGTATACTATTCAAAGTTGAGAAAACTTGGAATTATCCGAAGTGTAACAGATGGTCCAGTTAAAAGCAGTGAGAATAATCTTCCATCTAGCGAAATCGGGGAAACATTAGAACTATGTGCTGGAATAATCGATGGAGTCCAAAAAAATCCAAAATTATATGCTGTTCAAGAGGTTTTGGAAGAATGTGGCTATAAAATCAATGAAGATTCCTTACATTTAATCAATTCGTTTTAGTAAGTTATCTGTTCATGCATATGATAATTTATGTCTCTTTATATTAATACATGAGGTGAAAGTGAATTCTGTTCAGGTTGCAGCTTAAGATCGGAAAGTCTTTTTCACTTATTATGTCATGAGATTAGGCGTAGGTTTCTTTTTGTGTACAAGTTACCTCTTTTTGATACATGTGATCGGTTTAAGAACAATAGATGCCGTTTTCTCATATGGTTTATTGACAAATATTAAATATAGCTTTTCGAGAAGTGATATCTCGTGTGAAGGTATCTCTTCCAAACACTGGGACGTTGAAAAAATCAAAAATAATGTTCATACTCAGTTGTATCAAGTCAATTTCCTGCTTTTAAAATCTACCTCGCTCAGATGATTAAAAGCTCTGTCATTTTACAACTCATTTCGTAATTTTAAGCACTGTTAGCTCTTTTATTCAAAAAGTAATGGCCATTTATAGTCAATTAACTTGCATATTGGTTCTCTAGAATTAATTCATTTTATTCTACAAACCTTGTTGTTCTTCCTCTGTTTAAACTTATCAAGGGATCTGGTTGTATGAAAACTTTCAACTCTGCTTAGGAAAATTACCTATTGCTCCTTGCGGAAATTTATTGACGCTGAAGTATTATAATGTAATTAAAGAACAGTTTTCGAAAACTTGAATACATTCGTTTCCCGACGAAACTAATAATTTTGATGTTCCGTTTCTGGTCCTTAGATTTACTTTTGTCTATTTATCCAATGTTTAATCATGAAAAGATAGATCACCAACTTGTAGATCCAGTCCCCGTAATCATAATATAATCTACAGGTTGTTACCATTGTATGATTAGGTCCCAAGAGTATATTGGTATGCCATTTTTCTGGCAAATCATTTGTATCTTCTAATACTATACCCTTGGGATTTTGATGGAAAGCGTCTTTTAATAATATGACTTCTAAAGTAAACGGTTTCTAGCCCATCTTGTACTTCATCAGATGAAATGAATGGGATGATCTGAAGAGTTTCTAGTAGCAGACAAAATCGACACAACTGCAGAAGTACAACTATTGACTGAAGTGTTCTGAAAATTCTTAATCCATCCTGTGATATCCAAATAAAACTGGAGAATGGACAATTTTCTGAAATTTCAGAATACATTTAAGGTTGAATGTAATCAAACTACTACATATTTATTATTGATAATTTCAGTTGTGCAATTTTCGCTTTTACTCTTTCAATTTGGATTAAACTAGTTTTCACGAAATGTCTGTTTTAAACTAATGCGAAACAATGATCTCAGAAGTAAAAGCACATGCTTTCTGAACAGTGGATTACAGATTTAAACCTTACTTCACTTAGCTCATATTGTGGTATATGCTACTTAAGTTGACGGATATAAGTAGTATATGGTACCAATCGGAAATGGAATGCATACCTACAGAATATCGGGAAGATTCAACTGAAGAAAAAAGATAGTAGTTGTAGTAACAACGGAATTGAAAGAATCATAAAGCATGTAAAGGATAACTGATGGGAGATATGCAAATTATATATTCGATGTATGGTTTTAATATTTTACGAAAGCACTCTGTAATTTTGCATTAAACAATAAATAGGTCTTCTCCATCTGATTTCTCGTTCACCACAATATTAAATAGTCATATAGTAAATATCAATAGTCCTCACACAAATCTTATTAACGAAAATTGACCTTTATACATTTCAATGGTTGATATCATGAGTCAGTTGAAGCTAGACCACCATGGAAAACCTAGAAGCACTGGATGGCCGTTTCACCCTATTGTGGGACTCCTCAATAGTGTGGATCCACGATCTCGCCCCCCTCGAGACATCAAACCCAGGACCTATAAGTCTCGCGCGCGAGCGCTTAACCACTAGACCACTAAGTCGGCATCCAACATTTGTCGGTATTTTGACAAAATCAGTTCATCTGAATTCATTTAATTTACTAGTAATCTGAATTAATAAATATGAATATTTTATTAATGTATCACTTCAATCGATTTAATAAAATTGTCATTGAAATCTTTTCGTTTTAATACACAATAAACGTAATGTTTCAAAATAACATTGATGATTTTATGTAAGCCTTGTATCATATTTAATCTTCGAAATTCATCTATACACATTATGAAATTTTATATTCTGGGTCAAATGACATTGATTTATATTTGGTTACACGGAATTACAATTAATCTGTTGATAATAATGATATACATGAATTTCACTTAACTTGTTTTATTTTCTAATTTCAGTTCAAGTGTTGGATTAGCAGGCACTGAAGTAACTTTATACTATGCTGAAGTGCATGAAAATCAGAAAGTTCCTAACGCTGGTGGTGGATTACATGAAGAAGATGAATATATTGAAGTGATAGAATGGCCTATTTCACGAATTGAAGAACTATTTCAATATGGTACCGATAGTACTCAACAACCTACTTCATTGTCATTATTGTATGCCATAATGTGGTTCAAACAGAATATTCTGCCTTCTTTACTTTTAGAAAGTTAGTTTTTTATTGGCCGAAATTAGATTCGTATATGTGAAGGAAGGTAGAGGTTTATAAACAAATAGATTTATTTTAGTCACTTCACATTATAAAGGTGTCTTACTGTTTCTTAGTTGTTTGATTCTGGTAAAACTTGAAATTATCATCTTTCATCGTATGAATTAACCAAAAATGCACTTTTTTATTCTTTCAATTATAAAAAGTACTACCGATCAAATTAAAACTATTTCCATCTTTTTGTAGAAATTCAGTAGGTTTGACGAAAATTCTATAATCTTGTGTTTTCTCTTGCAAATACTTTCAAAAGACGATTTTTAGTCAATGTTAACAACTATTTGTTTCTTCTTTATGCAATGTAATACTTTTAAAACATCCGATCAAATTTAGCTAAATAGGATTTCCTTTTCTAGAAAACTTTCCATTTTCAAGTTCTTAAAAAGTGTACTCCAAGGTAAGTCTGTCATCACAAAACTTTTATTCTTTTATGAATAAACATAACTTTCATATTGTATCATCGTCAGTCAAAGTTGCTATAAACTTTCTTAGTTCATTTTGTTTTCTTCGATTGTTGTAGGCTGGATTAGTGGAAAAAAGTGCTTAATTCTATTATGAGTGTTCCGTGATATTGTGTCTCACCTTTGAATCCCATAACTAGGTTTATACGTAATGGTTATATTTAGTATTTTGGTTCCATCGTACATCAGAAATTAAGACTTGTCATGTTTAGATACGCAATTTGGCATCTTGTGAATGCATATTATATAATCGGTGACGGTATAGTATAGGAACAAGGCAATCATAATCGAGAATGTGACTTTTAGGCTATTAAGCGGAATTCAGATATCACGTTTAGAACAAATGACTGAAAATGGACTTAACTTCAGTTCAGAATTTTGGCAGTCAAATTGGTGACCATTCAGAATAAAGCGCAAGTTATCATTCTCAAAATCCTAGTAGGCAATAGTGATTGGTTTGCCTCGTTCTGTTTTTCTACGTTCGCTTTTTGGTGTCGCTGCAAAGCTCTCTATGGCTTGAGATATCATTCCTACATGTAATGCACGTATCCGGTGTAACACAGTCTGATATGATGAAAAAAATACAGTCTCAGCATAAATCACAGTATAATCTATTTTTTTAAATAAAAATCACGTCGTAATATGACTACGTGAACGTTAACATGACCATTTTACCAGTCCACGATACACTTAATTGACGTGACAACGTTGAGCATATTTCCACTCGAAGAAATTGTAGAAGTACACTTTTATATTCTCAAACAAGTTTAGGATAACCGCAAAAGATTACTTTCTGCCAACATAGAGTGGAAATGGTAGCGTTGAACGTTTCAAATACCTTGTTCTGTGTCTATGGATTGTATTTAAATGGCGAATCGACATTCTCCGCAATGGCTGAAATAAATGTCAATCTGATGCTACCATATTTTATAGATGAATCAGTCAGATAACACGTCTTGCCTTTTTTTCTAGATTGCTTCACCCATTTTGGCTACATAGGATTATTCCTGTCGTCAATTTGTGATTAAAACGTGAACTCATCCTTAATATCTAGTTCTAACCAAAACCAATGTATGGACTGACAAGTTTACTTTGTTAAGCTAACTGCCAAGCAACTTAACCAACAAGTTACTGTGCACCTTTGCTTGTACTTGAAATAAGATTAAACAAAGTCAGTACACATCTCCGTTTTTTTCACAAGTGGATAGTAGCTGTTTGGTAAGTAGGACTAAAGCATTATGGGTCACTTAATGTATTCTGTCGTGTTTTTTTCCAAACTATAGTTGAAACTTGTTTCCCTCATATTATTGAGGCCCTAGGATTCCCACCCATTAACCCTGATTCTTGTATTATGAAGAGGTTTACATTACCACTGTTCTAAGATATTTTATTAGGTCCTTTACTAGTCTCGACCTTTTTTTATAAGTCTTTAATACCAGACTATTTACACTTTGATTTGTGACATACTTCGTCCTCGAGTGCTACGAAAGATTTGCTGATTATTCTCTATCTACATTAAACCCAATTACGTCCGCAACCGTCACGTTAGTCACCTATTCATTGTAGTGTTAACTCACGGAAATTTTCGTTGTGTGTGGGATGTAAATGGATATGGTTGGACAATAGTTCAAGCTAATGACTATGCTAATGATTACCTGCATGGAAACTTCCTCAGTAATTATATCCCTTGCGCCTAAATGCCCTGGTAAGGTTGAGAGTGGAAAGAGTCAGCCCTGCCTCTCGAAATGCTCTCACATGGTCACGTGCATACAACCACTGCCAGGGAAGTCCTACTCACTGCCTCCTCGAGGTGGGGGTGTTACTTACGAAATTGAGAGGACGAAAAGCGAATATCCGGCGCTTTAACCGGGTTGGTGAACACGGTGAGTCCACCTAGGGGAGTTGGAAAGCCCTGATTCCAAACCAATGGTTCACATAGGCTGGCTCCAGTATCCTAAAGAAACAAATAGCGTATGAACCTATTGTTGATCACCATGGGACTGCATCTCCTAACGTTACTCCACTGCCTTGTGGATCAGACCTTTAGGTCGAATGCCCCGGTTGTAGGCCCCTAAGAAAATCACCTGCTTCGGTTTGGGCACCCAGGCAGTATCCCAACCCTCACACAAATCGAATGATTTATGTGGCGCATATCTATTTGATGCTTCCTTATACGGATTTTTTGTGTTTATGTAAATAAATTCTTTTAAGGATTGAGTAAAAAAGATTATCTGTATTTATAAGAACAAGTCTTTATGTCGTTTTTCCTAATTTATAGGGTGATTGACGTGTAGGTCCCCAATAACTTTTGTATGTAAAATCTGTTATTTATGACTAAAGTAATCGTACAGGATATATTAATCCCAGACTTGTTTGCAAGTGGATATTAATGTGTGCAAACTCACATATAGAAATATAGGAATTAAGGTTAACTGCGTTACCGCCACCTTTAACATATACCGTATTCATATGGAAAATCTGTGACGGATTCGCTTAATGACAATGTGAGCACGTTTTAAAGCATAACTTTGACAGTTTACCATGCTGATAAACCGCTTTGTAACTTGTAAAACTGAATGGTTACAAATAGTCGGTCTGTCCAAACTTAAGTAAGGTGACTTCTACCAGATATGTAAGTAATTGTAGACCCATAAAAACTGTTCCGTACATATTTTCCAGGAAATTAAACAAAATTATTTACTCGTAAATGATCTTTTGCACATGTTAACTGTCGCGCGTCACTGTATTTTCTCCGATCCAAATCTACTAGTATTAGCTGCTATTTATGATTTTACGGCAATTACAAATACAGAGCTTTGACCGCGTGATAAAACGACCTCTCACCGTACATAATAACTAAGAAGACCGACGGTAGACTACTTTTTGTGATTTTTAGACGTCAAACAACGTAACTTTGCTTGATCACCATCCCATTACACACCTGCAAAACTCTTTTTTGCCTCGGCATCGCAAAACAATTTTCTCAAAATTTAACTGAAAAAGGGCGTAAAATCGAGTACTTGTGACATCAGGGGGGTTAGAAAAAGCAACCATCTAATGTTTCTTAGGCGTTTTGAAATTGCACGGGTGGAATTATTAGAGCCCGTTGAGTAGCATGTAAAGTAATAGCGTTACCACTAATAATTACACCACATCTACAAGAACGGCTAGCAGAAGTTGAACTCTTAGTTCAGTGGTTAATAGTTAGCCGAAAATCCCCGCTTTTAGCGGCAAGATTATAAGAAAGCACACAGGATGAAGAGCCTCGACCTAAACACCGAAACAGATTCTTCAACTAAGTAATCATGATCAAATTCCTAAACAGCTTCCTACTTCCAGAAAAACCAAGAGGCAAAAAAATAGGATAAAATGCTCGGAGTGCAGCCTACTGAGGAGAAGCAGCACGAAAACATTAGTATTATAAATTGCTCGTCGCTCGTTAAAACCAGGGGCTCAGCGTTTAAATGTAGTGTCTGCATTGGCTGAGCTCACTGTCGCTGTGATACTGTAGTACCTAGGCAATAGTACGGGTTCATGTTGAGTAGTCCCCGCCTGCGGTTTTGTTGTATCTGTGCACAAAGTAGAAAGTGTGCCAACCGAACTAACATAAAGAAGCTTAAAAACTCATGGGGAGCGAATTCGGCAATCCCCATCAGTATATACAAATTGCCAATCACAGGTTCAATAAATACGTGACTTGACTATGGGAGCCACTATTCGAGCTCATACAACAGTGAAGTTGCTAATACTCCAGTATTTGCTAGCACAAAGTAGTTAGTGATCGTTTTGACAAGGGGAATAGCTAAGACATAGCTCTCAGAGCGCTAAAAATTGGCGATAAATACATTGGTCAGACCTTCCTGATTCTGGTTGATGTTCCAATGTTGGAGAGCAGCTTAATAGAAATTAGGTCAGCCTTTGATGAAGAACAGTGGGACAAATACTGAATGATGCTGAGCAAGAGCACAACTTAAGCTAAACTGGCCAATCCACTTTAAGCTAAAACCTGTTTAAAAGCCGGGAGAGGGATTCTGCTATACGGGGACACTAGATGATGAAATTAATCATCGATGGCTCTATAATAACATGAGAGGACTTTGGAGTAAACTAAGAAGATTAGAAACACATGATTTCATTTGGGTTAAAAGATCATAGTTTTGACTGAATCATGGATACCTCCCAACATCACAGATGAAGAAGTGAGTTTGCAAGGTTTGACACTTTTTTAATATGATTGGATCCATAAATCAGGAAGTGTAGTTTCGCTACTCATTAAGAGTTTCTTCTTAGCCGTAACAACACTCAGCAACAAAATCCAGGCTAATTACAAATATTCCTACAGATTCATAAATAAAAGAAGCTTACGTACCATTAGGCTTTGTGCTTTCAAAGAGCCAAACGGCGGAGATCTTACCAAATCGGCGATACCGAAATGTTTGCACTCAGGAAAGTCACCAGGATGCTACAATATCCAACCTTCAAGAGAATGGAGCAGGTACCTACCTCTTGAAACTTTGGAAGGGAGGATTGAAAAAATCCAGAATGTTACAAACTGTCTTATTCTTCCAATACTGTAAAAGATAAAGAAAAGACTAATTAATGAACAGATAAGAGAATGCATGAATAACCACAGCATACCCCATGAAGTCAAACACGGGTCCAGGAAAGGCAAGTACGGGACGTTCAACCTCCTCACAGCATGGGAAATCTGGACAACCTATCGGGACTATAAGATACTAGTTCATGTATAATTCCTTGATTTCGGAAAAGCCCCATATCCTTCCCAAATGATGAGGGCATTAGGCCATAACCATACAGTCATCAAAGCTGAACAAGAGACAGATGGGAAATGGATACTCAACATTTGACGCGGAGAAAGCCCCAACGATGGATAAGGCGGGAACAATGAACCGAATTAATTTAGGTTAATCGTATGGCATGGCTCAGCCTTGCGGGCGTGGTCATTATTGAATGTTGACATATACCTTTTATTCATACTAAATATATTGTCCCATCTCTAGCCTAAGTGTGCTCCTCATCATAAATTGACGATTGTCACGACGCGATGAGGTGGTGTAGATAATAATATGAGTTCTACGTAAGATCTTATAGATTAGGCAGTTACATCATGACAAATCTACAAGCTTAAGATTGGGTCCGTTGTTAGAGCAGTACTAATAACTTAGTAGACCATAATTTAACAACTCACTGTCATCCTGACTCCAAAACTATATACAGAATAGGATGTTCCGTGTCTAGGTAAACAAATGAGTTGGAGAACCTCAACATCAGGAGTTTCACAGTGAACAATCTTAGGTCTACTACTGCTCATGATCTCTGTCAACAATCTAATAGTTGAAATTAGCTCAACGAAATCGATTACTACAGCTGATGAAAAGACCGGGGGGTCCATAAAAAGCATACAAGATTTACTCGAACTTCAAAAGCGACGAGCAGCAGAAAATAGGAAAAATGTGGCCTGTCAAAATGTCATTTCATGGAACGTTTGCCACATTTGACACGAAGTGTCAACACAATGTCGAAATTCGCTCCCGATTGTCACCTCAGAGCGTGATTTCGGGATTGTAACCACGGAAAGCTTAGATGCAAGGCCAAACTACATGTAGGGATGCAGCCACAGTGAACGCATCTTCCCACTTTATGAGGAGACAATTTGACTGAATCACACCAGAGCTGTTCCTAACGTCGTCTGAGAAGTACTCACAGCTTCACCTTGAAGTTCACGATGTTGCTGCGCTCCTTCTCCTTAAACGAATATCAACCTCTTAAACCAGCTGCAGAGACGGCGACCAAGTGGGTGGTAGGTCTAAAACACAAATATTAAGAGAGCTGAGTCCAACACTTTGGATTATTCACGCTGATCTATAGAAGAATTTGAGCCTTTTTGATAATGACATACAACAGATTTGTAGTGGCATTGGTTCCTAACTATGTGATTTTTGAAGTTGAACATATAAGTTCTGAGGAGATTTATATTTAACTTTTGAACGCTTGAAGCTGTGGGAGCCGGAACTTGGATTCGATATGGCATGGATATGCTATGCAGGCGTGATCACTATGTGACTTATTCCTTTTCATATCAAATATATCATTCTGTTCTCAGCCTAAATATGTGCTCTAGAAGTGCTAAACACCATGTTACTGATCGTCTTACTGCGACGATCAGTATAGACATTGATGTGGCCTCTGTGTAAAATCTGATAGATTGGGTATTCACATCATAGAAAATCTGCGAATGTAGAATAGGCTCAGGATTCCGGTGGCATAAATCAGTGTACTAATATTGACTTACTCCATTATCCCACATATTAATTTCGCCGAGTCACTCCAACGTCCTACTAGAACGTCATCGCCACACTCCTCCAGGCAACCCTCTGAATATTGCACATCGAAAAGTTAACAATCAGGTACATTCTCACTAAGAGTTGCCTCCACTTGGAATACTCCCCCAGCCTAATCAACTACAGCTCCATAAATGAATGGCTTCAAGAGGAGACCCGAACAACACGTACTCATCGACGGATTATCATGCCCTCTTGGACCAAATGTGTCTGATGCATATCTCACAAATTACTATGGTTATCATTATCGCGTATCAGTAACTACTTCCTATGCATCCCATTACCATCTTCCTTTTCTATCTTATTTTTCCTATTCCGCCCGTCCACACATCATCAAGAAATTAAGTTATTTGCTGATCTAGAAAAAATCATCCTCTCTAAGCACTCCAATTACCACGTTATTTTCACACTGCAACCAAGCAATCTCCTGACTGATAGTGCGTTAGCTGCTGGTATCCAGAGTCTTTATTGACCTAATACAATCGCACTCACTCAAACTGAAAAATATACATGTTCACAAATAACGGCCAAACTGACTAAAATTAGTGCAGTTGAATGGGTAAGCTACCACTCATCGGGTATTGCTAAATACCTGGAACCGTACTGAATCAAAAAGAAGCGAGTGTAAAGAAATCAATCGATTTGTAGAAACTCGTGACTGCGATATTGGATATCTATAAATTAACCTACTTTTGAATTTTGCGTTACGATGGTTGGTTTCTATACTAGTAGACTTAATATGTCCACATTATTCCCTTATTCTGTTTCATAGATTTAGTAGATCCTGCATTTTGTACCACAAATTTTTTTCGACTCAAGCATTTTTATTGCTTGTATCAATTCATCGTCAAATTAGCTTAAGAAACATGTTATTTTGATTTACTTTCTTTCAAGCCTTTCTATGTTGCGTAGGATTATAATTCCGTTATTAAACAAAACGATCCCCAAATTCGTTTGGAGTCCACTATTTTTTGCAAAAGCAGGTCTTTTCCCGTATAAATGAACTACTTTGTGGTTATTTGAGATAGTTTCACGTGTTTCGTTCATCATTTTAAAATATACCAGACTCACAACAAAAAGCTAACTTCATTAAAACTTTGCATTTGTATCGTCAGGTGATATTTTTCATAAATGTTATGTGTTGACTTACTAGTGACTTCAAAATATCAGTTGTCCTCTTGTTATAACAAGGGGACTATAGTCCCCTAATAGTTTCTCATATTGGCCATCATGTCATTCGCTTTTTGACTATCTGAATTATTAATATTCCCATTGCTTCTCATCCTCATTGATCACTAAGACTATCCCAAAACTTTATTATCTCTACATTTATGTATGGCAGTAAACAATTTATTGTCTTCCTTCTAAGCCAATAAATTTGTAAAAGGTATCAATAACTATGGTAACGTTTGTCCATCACGTGGAGTAATAATCTTAAACTTGTCCCATAATATATTTCTGCAACATTGTAAATTGGATAATCATACTACCACAGGGTAGCTACAGCTGGTCCAGTAGTATTTATCACCACTGTATTTTTGGGGCTTTAAAGATCATCATTAGGATCCAGAAGTACTTACGTGTTTATGAAATTCTAACTTGAATATTCGCTTGTTGGCGAGGTTTACTTCGCGTATCTTTAAAATGGGTTTTCTTGACATGTTCTGTTGTTTGTTTTAGTTCTTTCTACTATTAGTTTTACGTAACCATTAGGTAGTGTCGTAAAGTTATTAGAAATCAATAATGTTACGGGAAAACAGGTTATGTAAAAGCACTTTTATTTATTGTAAATGGGCTTTATTGCCATAAGTAATACCCGACGCGCTTGTGACTAAAATAATATTCTAGATCCTACGAAGAAATTCTGATAAACATCTCTATCAAGTTTTGATCATTAGTCATATATCCCTTTATAAAGAAATCACGTGATAATTACCGACTTATTATCTCATGGTCCAGGTATAGGTTAACGTAGATCGTACAGTTTCATATGAATTCAATTTCAAGCAAAAAGATGAAGAAATGTAAAGGTTTCGAGAAACCGAACATTGACAATATCCATTAGTAATAAACCAAATCCATGTAAAAATAAAACAAATTGCAAGCATGTACAGGCTCTTATGATGTAGTTTAAGCTATAATTTAAGGTTGTTGGTACTACCCAGTTGTTTAAACATGTATGGAGTGATGTTCAGCCTAACACTTCGGTCACTAAACCATTGCTGTTACTGAGTGACATAGCTGCATTGTCGTGGATTTCTTCCAACAGTCTTAAGAAGTCATGCACATTAAGGCTCCAAGTATTATTGATTTTAAAAGCTAACGTATTTCCATTTTTCTGGCATTAGTCGTTAACCATTCCTGTTTATACGTTGTATTAATCACTAGAAATAAATCAACTTGAATAGGGCATTTAAAGCAGCCTGGTAGAGCGAAATAGATATTTGGCCTCTTTGCTAATTTATCTTCACTGTAATGGTGTGAAGCGTTGGTACATGTTTATGTTAGGTCGTGTGTTGTTTCTTTCCCCTTGATGTCCTAATTGCCAATTTGTCTATTTATTAGCTGCAATTAGTGAGCTATTTCGTTCCATAAATCATTCTCCCAAAGTGCCATATTACCCACAAATATAATTTCCTGGACTTTCAGGAACATATTGGTGAGCATTCAACTAGCATTTATCATGATACTGTCTCTATCGGTGGTGGTTCATCATTTCCACAGTTCCCTTCCCAAACACGGGGATGGTCAGATGCGACCGATCCAAGTTCCGAGTCATTAGCTGTTGAAATTTCTGGAGCAATGAGTGATAAAGACCGTGTTCTATTTAAGATTCATACAAAGGTGATTATATTTTTATAAATAATGTACTTGATTATATATATGTATATATATATATATATATATATATATATATATTAGTTGTACTGTCAGGATTTGCATGAATTTATTTATAGCAGTATATCTTATCCCGTTGCATAATGTAATCTGCATAATTAAGATTTTATCATTTTCTACTCATTTCACAGTACATTGACATCCGTTTATTTTATATGTAAATAAAATCATCCTTTATGCGCAGTGTTAACTGTAACTAGGTCTCACTGGACAACATTTTTGTTACAGTTAATATTTTTGGTGATGATTTATTCACCAGGTACTTGTGTATGAATCACACTCAAAATGTGGGAGCCGGGTTCGAACTTGGGACTTGCTATTTGGACGTCGGACGTTATAAGTAATCTAATTTCTATAAGCTCATATATAATCGAACTAGCGAGTTGTACCTTGAAATGATCACTAATGTTTTTCTAGCGTATCAAAGTTCCATTCCAGTTTAAGTTTCTAAGAACGGGAAGGAAAGTATTGAGAGACTTATTCTTAGTCGACCAACATTTTTACTGATTTCTGCTTTATTTTTAAATTCTAGACTACATTGCCTGATTTTAAACAAAGTGAATGCGATGTACAACGAATGCATGAAGAATTCGTCTGGCTTCATGATCGTTTAGTTGAAAATGATACATATGCAGGTTTAATTGTAAGTTAGTCTTTGCATTAACCAGGCTCCTCTCATCAGGATTTTTTAAATATATTACTTGGAGTAGTGAAGTTGATTGTTGTTTTTAAGTGAATAGTAGAAATATACACTGGTTTATTTTTTGTGGTCACTAATGATTTAAACAGTAGTACTGGAGCTGATGATTTAAAACGTACAGGTCCAACTATACTACCATGAAAAAGAGCAGCACTTTCTACTGCAAGCCACCTACGATACTGTCATGTAATTAATTTGATTTTAAGGGATTAAAGTTGTGGTACTTTTAGAATCTTTGCTATACTACTGACCTATCTTTGTCTCATTGAGATTGTACGGTGAATTTAGCGTAAGTAGCGCTGATGTATTTTGCGGGCTTCTCTGTTTGTCACGTCGCAAATCGAACCTGTCTCTTAGGTACTTGTAACTTTTGATATTCCAGCGCCTCAGTGGACATTACTGTCAGATTCTGGTATTGATTGAAAAAAATGGAAAGAAACAATCAATATGTAACACGATCATGTAATAAGTCGGAAAAATGTAATGTATTTGAGCTATACATTTCGAACAATATGGTCACACATATACTTGTCAGGGCATTTTTATATGAAAATTAATAAAGGTCAATTAAATGAAAGTTCTAGTAAAAAAGTAACAAAGGAGAGAGAAAGAATAAGAAATTGTCGCGTTATCCTAGGCCATAGAATGACTTAAAGATTACCAAGGTAAATTCAAGGTTACGACAAATTGTTTTGTACACATAAAGGGGGTTTAAATTTACGAATAGCCAAGGCTTCAATAAACTTCGTTCTTGACAATTTCTATACAACGTTCTAAAAGTTGTATTAATGTCAATTTTGTGCCCCGTTTCAATTAGATGTTTCGCTATCGATGAACCCGGTTTTCTACCTCCCGCGTTGATCGGATCATTTGACACATTGATTTTGAAGCCATCTAGGCACGTGTTCAATGACCCTTGATTGCTCCTCCCTATGTATGTGTCCACATAAACATGTAAATTGGTTAATACAATGGGATGTGACGTAATCATTAGTGCATTGTCTGGGTCTATTAGGAATCATGGCCTTAGACTTTTCAATCACAATCAATTGAGCAGCATAATAGGTGTTCTCGATGGCTTCTTTCAATCTCTGTCTTAAAATTATACTGTTAGATTCATCTCTATGTGGTAGATTGGTATAAACTTTTTTCTTTGGAACTAAATAAACAAGAGGTCTTGGCATTAACTGACTTTTGCACCTATTAATAAACTTTAGTGGATAACCATTTGATATTAATGTGTCAATCAGTAACTTTTCATCTTATTCCACCGTGTCAGAAGTACAAATTCTTTCAATCCTCTTAAAGAGACACTTAACCAGGCTTCGCTTGTATTGTAATGGACAAAAAACTATGGAAATTTAAGTATTGTCCCGTCCAAGTTGGTTTCCTATACACTTACCGTCACATCCCATTGTATTAACCAATTTACATGTTTATGTGGACACATACATAGGGAGGAGCAATCAAGGGTCATTGAACACGTGCCTAGATGGCTTCAAAATCAATGTGTCAAATGATCCGATCAACGCGGGAGGTAGAAAACCGGGTTCATCGATAGCGAAACATCTAATTGAAACGGGGCACAAAATTGACATTAATACAACTTTTAGAACGTTGTATAGAAATTGTCAAGAACGAAGTTTATTGAAGCCTTGGCTATTCGTAAATTTAAACCCCCTTTATGTGTACAAAACAATTTGTCGTAACCTTGAATTTACCTTGGTAATCTTTAAGTCATTCTATGGCCTAGGATAACGCGACAATTTCTTATTCTTTCTCTCTCCTTTGTTACTTTTTTACTAGAACTTTCATTTAATTGACCTTTATTAATTTTCATATAAAAATGCCCTGACAAGTATATGTGTGACCATATTGTTCGAAATGTATAGCTCAAATACATCACATTTTTCAGATGAACTCTGTCTTCTCATTGTTCTATCGAAATTCCCAAACTTATAGGCTTTGCGGTAGAACCTATCTAACAATTTTCAATTAAATTACCCAGACCATCTGGTTTATGGCTGTTATCAGACAGATTATGTTGTCTTTTTTATGTATATATCCATAGGAGCATATATTTTAAACAAACATATTGGAAGTAACTGATTTTCCGACCCTTATAATGAAGGTTTTTATGCTGAATTTCCATTATTGTTAACATATATCGGTGTTTAGGCTTTCTATTATTTTAGGGAAGTCAATGAAACACTCAGTGATTAGCAGCCAACTGCTGTCCTCATTACTTATTTTTGTTAGCGTTTTTTTAGTATTGTTGTTTTTCACGGGATGGGGTTACTGACCTCCTGCCCAACCCCTCTCCTTTAACCGGGCTTGGTGCCGGTAGTAAACCTAGAAGAGCTACAGGCGGAGTTTATTTCTTGTTTGGCTCTATGATAATATATATCTATGCTTTTGTATCAATACTCTGAATAATTTTCTAGCAGATTTAACGCATAAAATCGGTATGTTTTACCCCACAATCTGTTACTAACTTATGAGTGTCCTCTAAATATTATGTAATCCTTTACTGTAAGCTGAAGAGAAATCATGCTAAAGCGTTCAAATCTTTGTCAAGACTTCCTATCTGTGTTAATCTGCCTTTAGTTATGAAAACTGTGTTTTTATGAATCGGTAGTGGAAATTTGTGTCCTATGATCGAAATAAATAGATTTAATTTTATTTCTCTTAAATATCCCAGATTACTGTTATTTATTTGGTTTTATATTTGAAACTGATACACCATGGACAACAGCAAGATCGTATCATACAAAATTGTATAACAACATTATAAAAATAACAAATTTATTTTATTTTATTTTATTTATTTATTTATTTATTTGAACACAAATATTGGTACAGGGGGGCACCAAATATATATGCGCCACACAAAACAATCAGAATTTAAGAAGGGAAAAAATGTAAGGAACGTAGGGGAGACGAAAAGGTACAACCAGAAGAAATCTTACATTTAAGGAGGATGCAGCCCCTTTTTATGAAGAAAGTAAAACAAGGTTACAGCAGGATCGCCACTGGCTTCTATTCTGAGCCATATCTGATAACGTCTCTAGCCACTGTGTTACACCATCTCTCGGACCCCACCCAGGGAGTCGTGAAGGACCAACAGAAGCTAGCCCTTTGCAGCTTTCTTTCATACCACGACACCATGTCATACATTGACCTCCTCTCCGCTTTTTCCAACCAGTCCCAGGGTCGGCAAATAGTGCACGACGTGGAATTCTCTGGGACGACATTCGTAGAACATGTCCAGGCCACCGAAGCCGGTGTTTCAAGATGGTGACACCAATTGCATTATCGTCTCTGTGCCCAAACACACGATGCCGAACCTCTGGTGTTGCCACTGAATGTCAGCAATCCTTCGGAAACAGCGACGATCGAACACAGAGAGTCGTCTAACATCCTCAGCTCGGAGCGGCCAGGTTTCACAAGCATAGAGTAGAACTGCTCTCACCGACGCGTTGTAGATCCGACCTTTTACAGCCAGACTAACATCACGAAGGCGCCAAAGATGGCCCAGATTGGCATAAGCCGCTCTGGCTTTCACTATACGTGCATTGATCTCATCACTCACGCCACCACTAGCACTTACGCAACTACCTAGATATACGAACTTCTCGACTACTTCTATCTGCTCACCACCCAGAGTGAGTACAGGATTAGAATCCTGCCAGTCTTGTAGAAGTACTTTGCACTTCGAAGGTGCAAAGCACATACCATACCTACGGACATTGATTGCCAACTGATTAAGTGCGGATTGCGTGGCTTGGGCATTCTCGCACAGTAAGACAATATCATCCGCATACTCAAGGTCGAGAAGTCTTTCTCCAGGCAACAGATCCACGCCACCATTACTTACATCCATCAGAGCTGTTTCCAGAATGTCATCGATGGCAAAGTTGAAGAGGAATGGTGAGATTGGGCAACCCTGCCTAACCCCACTGCTTGAATGGAATAATGGAGAAAGGTGGTTATATGCCCTCACTCTGCCTGAGGTGTTTGTGTATAGGGCTTTTAGGATGTTAATAAAGTTCTCAGGCACACCCTTCTTCAATAGACACTCCCAGAGAACAGTCCTATCCAACGAATCGACGGCAGCCCTGATATCAAGAAACACTACTATTGTTGGCCTTTGATAAGTATGGCGGTGTTCTAACATTTGGCGGAGGGTGAAGATATGATCAATACATCCTCGACCAGAACGAAACCCAGCCTGCTCCTCGCGAGTCAATCTTTCTCGGGTTTTGAACAACCTAATAAGTATGACGGAAGCCAATAGCTTGGACGCCATCGGAAGTAGACTTATCCCCCGATAGTTGTTACAGGAACGACGTGAACCCTTTTTAAAGATAGGGACAACTATCGACTCATTCCATGACGTTGTTACACTCTCTAGTTCCCAGACCTTTTCAAACAACCTCGTCAGTCCCTTAGTCAGAAAGTCACCACCATCTTTAAAAAGAGCCGGAGGTAAGTTATCTGGGCCCGGTGATTTGTAACGTTTCAAGAGTTGGAGTTCCTTGAGGACTTCCGCCTCATTTGATGGATCAGTCGTCACCGGCCATGGAGTGCAGGACAGTCTGACCGACGTTTCCGGAGCAGCAGGCCAGTTGAACTGCCCTTCAAAAAATTCTGCCCATCGTCCAAGACGTCGATGGATTTTAGTAATTGGCGTTCCGTCATCCTCGCAGATTGTTTCGCTCACACCAGACTTCTTGCTGCCAGTGGCTCGGATGAGTTGGAAGAGCTTCCGGTAATTACCAGATGCAGCTGCTGCTTCCAGCTCGTTAGCACGCTCCGACCACCAGGCTTCTCGGTCCTTACGCAAGCTTTGCTCGATTTCATTACGTAACATCCTTCGTCTGTGGTCAAACTCACGGTCACCCGGAGTAGACCGACGGGCTTCAATCAGTTGTAAGGAACCA